TTGTCAGCAGGCCTTTGCGAAGGCCCTACGGACGTTTCCCCAACCCTCCTTCTCCACGCATCCAGACGATCACGCCGAGCAGTTGGATGCTCACATCTTGAGGGCGGCTGAGCTAGCCTTCCCGCCTAAGAGGACAGACAGTGGACGTCAGCCACGGAGTAGCTCGATCTCCCGCTCTCCCAGGGGTCTCTGGAGCTCATGGATCAGCGCACGCGCGGTCGAGCAGCGCTACGACGATTACGCGCTACGTTGCCCAACTTGTTGCTTACGAGCGCATGTGTGGCGTGGGCGCCAGGTGGGGCTTCGGAGGGAGCATGGTTTTGCTGTCGTACCTTGAGCTGGCGTTTCTCGGCCCGTGACGGGCCGTCGCATCACCCCCTGTTACAATGCTGTCGAAGGGTGGCCGACGCAGCCGACTGTGTGCGTGATGCCGCTCAAGCATTCACTGCGCCCCTAAAGTCGCCTCAGGGCAAAACCTCCACGCCACCGTCACGAAAGATCACATTATTGGGTTGCGATATCTCGGACGGCTACCGCCATTACACGAACTGGCCGTGGTCCCCCCGAGGCTTTCGCTTTCAGCTGGATATGATGATCAGTTTCTAGCAGGCTTGGTTTGGTTTCTTCTGGGCGGCTAGCAGTGTTTTTCTTCGGGCTGCTACGCATGTGAATCAGCAATCCACGGGGCAGGACTCTGCTTGGCACTGCGCCAACATCGCAAAGGAAGGGAGTTCGCACGGCTTGGGATCGTAGACAGTTTGCCGAAGCCCACGCCGCCCTGCGACGAGTTGGTGCTAGATCCAAACGACGACGATTCGAGCGCGTCCTTCCCGCCCTGCAGGATCTCTCATGTCAGGCAGTCGTATCAGAACAGCAGGTTGCACGCAGATGGCAGCGGCACTTCGCTGGACTGGAACTGGCTGCCACACTGCCAGTAAGTGATGTGCCGGCGTGTGCAGGATACGTCGCAGATCTGCCCCTGGCTGTGATGGGATCTCTGGTGGCCTCGTGAAGGCTCACCCCACGGCTGTAGCAGAATTCTACTACCCTCTGCAGCTCAAGTGCGCACTCACGTTGGCGGAACCCGCGCAGTTGAAAAGGGGGATTCTATCGGGGCCTCATCAAGTCTGGACAAGCCGACCCCACCCTGTGTGGAAGCTCCAGGTCCATGTTGGTGTCTTCCCAGATAGGGAAGGCCTCCCGACGCTGCCTCAGGAACCAACTACTGACATTCCTGGCCTCAGGGGCTGGCGAGACACAGTTCGGTGGGCGACCAGGCCGTGGGACGATTCATGCATCCCTGGTGCTTCGGGTATCTCAGTCCCTGGCCAGGCTCAGACAACTGTCATTCGGGGCATTTTTCTTGGACGTCGTACAGGCTTTTTACAGGGCCATTCGGGAGCTCGCGGTGCGTGCCCACCGCGAAACCGACCTCGACGATCTGACAATCGCTACGCTCGTGCGGGCCGCAGGTTTGCCCCCAGCCGCCGTGCACCAACTTGCCGAAAGGCTACGCCAGCGCACCGACGCCCTACCCCGCTCCCAGCTTGACCCTCACACGGTGGGTCAGGTGGAACAGTGTTACCAGGCCGCCTGGTTCGTTTGTGAGGGCTCAGGACAGGTCAGAGATCATTCTTCCCAGGTCAACCCCTCGCGGATGTCCTCTTTGAGATACAAATGGCCGACTGCATGCAGGAGGTTCGCGCGCAAATGATCTCCGACGGGACCCCATCAGTTGCCCAAGGCCGAACATCTCAGGCCATTCGGGCCCGCGGTGGCCGACCCCGCGGCGGAGCCGCCTCCAGCCGAGCACCCACTGGTCGACCTTTCATACGCAGACGACGGGACAGTAATACTCATCATGCCAGCGGTACAGATACATGAGGCTCTCAGTCGTACGCTAGCGCTGATGTCGGACGCCTTTGCACGACGAGCACACCGACTCAACGCCGGGCCCTCCAAGACGGCTGCTTTGATCATGTGGCGCGGGCACGGGACGAAGTGCGCACGACATGCAGCATGGCACGAGCATGGTGGGCACATACGTGGTAAATCTGACATCTTAGGACCTCCGAGCGCGCCTATAGCACACAATTAAATGCACCTAGGCTCTGTGTTCGACGCAAGTACTGCGATGACACCTGAGATTAGGCACCGAGCGTCTACCACAGCATCGTCACTACAAGTTCTCCGACGCAGGGTTTTTGCTACCGACGAGCTGACGCTACAACACAGGCTCATTTTGGCCGACAGCCTCGTGATGTCTGGGAGACAGTACAACAGCGGTGCCTGGCCAGTGCTCAAAACCATCAGAGGCCAAACTAGCCCACATCGAGACCATAAAAAGGCACCGCGCTGCCGCGCGTGTTCGGTTCCAGGAGAATTCTTCCCAGGTGTCCGAAGACTTGCTGCTTGCTCGCCTGCGACGACCTGCCCCAGCTATCTTGCTACGTGCTTCTCGTCTTCGTCTCTTGGGCTCTTTATACCACACCGGACCCCAGCTGGCATTTGCAGCCGCGACGGCCGATTGGTTAGCAGCACCTGACGCACATGCACGTCAACGCACCACACTGGGGCAATGGGTTCAGGATCTCAGCTGGTTGCGGACAGCGGTCAAACACTGCCATGACCTGCCCTCTCCCGACACTGACCCGCATGCTTGGGAATGCCTTATCCGCCGCAGCCAGCCTGCCTGGAAACGTATCATACGTATAGGGGTGCATGCGCATACGCAGTACCAGTCCAAGCCCACGCTACCACGGAACTTGGAGGACCGGTTGTTTGCAGAAGCGAATGCAGCAGGAGTGCCCGCACGCGTGTACACTGATGACAGAGGCCTCCTTGTGCCGCCGCCGCCAGCAGATATGCCCGCCATGGAGTGCCCGTGGCGCGGGCAACGATTTGCGCGACATCGTGCACTGCGCACGCATGTGACACGCATGCACCGACAGCGGCGCGAGGGCATGCTGGACACGACGGTGCGTGTACGATATGCATGTTGAAGTTTACTCCCCGACGGCATCTAGTGGATCATCTTTCGTTAGATTATCCTAGATGCTTGTTAGCAAACACACGCAGCATGGACAACCCTGCCTACCATCTACACAGCACTACACAGCCTGCCCAGCCTACCGGACACACTAATCACGTCCGCATACCACGACGTCATGCGATTGTGCCGACACGTCGCATCACTGGCCCACTTACACAATTGGCTGCCGACATGGGTAAACTAGTACCGCAGGAATACGCCAGACACGTCGTGGGAAACTGACCCCTACTTGACGCCAGCTGCCTGCGCCTCGTCCATGTCCCCACCTACCTCTGCTCAGGACGAGGACGCGTCCCCAGAACCATACCCACCCGCCCAATCAGAACGGCTCCCGACTATAATGTTTTTGTTTTACTCAGCTGCAGGTCCTGTAGTGAAGTCAGGCCTGGAGTTCACTCGCGGGGCACCAGCATCGCACTGCCTTGCGAACGCACGAGACAGCAAGGCACTAACACTCCCATAATCACAGAAGGACAGACTCCTGGGGGCCATTCTTGCACTGTTTAGCGCGGCACACATATTTTACTAAGGCACGAGCACAAAGGGCGAGGGCACGTCTGAGCAATGAACGTCTAGAAGCGGCCGTCCGCCGCCTTTCCCTCCAGGATCTGGCGAACGCCCCCGGTCCTGCTGCAAATTCCTCGCCCTGAGCATTTTCGCTCAAGCTTGCTTGAGATGTCACTGGCATTGTAAATCATGATGTGTGTGGCCTTCCGCCATTTGGTACCGCACTGACAGAAATGAGCGTCACGAATTACAACCCTGGGCAGGGAGGCAGCTCGTTTGAAGCCGGGGAGCCGCCGCAGCAGCGAGGTCTGAGGATTCTCCATGATACAGATCTTCCCAAGCTGACGGCAGACATAAAAAACGAAGCGAAAAAAGCGGCCAAACAGTTTCAGCGCGGCTCCCGACTATAATGTTTCTGACCGAGCAGCATGTCGGCATGGCCGCACAGAGTCTGCCCAGCGCGATCCGACGGACAGAATACGACATCCTTAACCTGCACTGTGGGAGACGACGACCAGGAGACATTCGGGCCTGTCTGGAATGGACCCAGTACAATACTGACTGTTAGATCATTGTTTTATCGATCGACATGACGCGTCGGGAGCCCCTCGAGGTTCGGAAGGAGCACATTCGAGCAGGACGTGTCGCGCTGTCTGGAGGGGGACCACCCATGCGAGACACGGGCCGCCATTCGCTGGGCCCCTGATGCGGGCCCCCCGCCACTGCGATCTCACGACGATCTCCGGGGGCTCTCGGCAGTCAAACCTCGCCAGACGGAGCAGCCCCGTGTCGGCAACGAGCTTCTAGGAGCCATGATATTGAGCTGTTCGCCGTGCCCTTGACTGTTGGGACACGCTGCTGGATGGAACATCCCATGCCAGCAGGGTGGAGACAGGAGGCAGTCAGCTTTTTCTTTTGTCCGCCCCTTCGGGCGATAGCGGCGTCACACGCAGCATCCGTCACCGACTTCGACCGATGCGAACACGGTCAGGTTGCCAGGGCCCCTACACGTATATTAGCGCTGCGCATGGGCACACTACACGAACGACTACTAGAGACGCCTGGGCGCGGACGATGCTCGCACGGACGCGGGGCTCACGAGGTGCCCGCGGGGTTCGACAGGGCTCGGGACGAGTGGCGCACTGCCAAGAAAAAGACATACCCACCCGCATTATGTCAAGCACTGGCTGATGGAATCACAGATGCAGTCAACCATATGCGCGCATCGTGCGACGATGACGCGCGGCCAGAAGACATGAGGGATGTGGCAGCAGCAAGACCCCGATATGCCTTTTGGCCTTGAGCCAAATGAATACGGAACGCCTCTTCCACATGCTAAACCTATACACTGCAAACTGGAGCACTTCCACATGCCCCAAACTTTCTAGTAGGTTTAGCCGCCCTCTTGTGGTCGGCGTTCCTCCCCGGGTGAGACCACAAACTAGTCGGGTGAAATCGTCGGCCTATTGGAACAGACTGCTGCTGCTGCTGCAAAAGCCGGCCGGTGCGGAGGAGGAGGTTGGGAGAGAGACGAGGAGGGAGGAGAAACCACCACCACCACCACCTGTCCAGGGACCTGGAACCTGAGCCCTGTACTCTCTCCAGGAGGTCATGTTGCAGGAACTCTTGAACTCCTTCTTAGATGCTGCTTGCGATCGAGTCATCCTTAGTAAGGGCATCGACGGGCATACGCCCGTGCGGGATACATCTAACATGTCCTTGGGCACGCTCTAGAGCTTCACATATAATAGCAAGATCGATTGCAGTCCTTCTATCCTTAGCGCTCGCGTTGCCCTCCTTGAGCATCGTATCGTAGATCGATTTCGCATCAACTACGTGCACTTGGTCCTCACGAGACCCTAGCCGGCAATCTCGACGCAACACGGCCGTGAAAGGCCCGGACGCCCGGTGGTTGTCCCGGACGGTCACGTCCCTGAAGGAGACGTCACGGTACATGATCTGCAAGTATTCTACTTCCGCCACGGCAGAAGATAAAGCCTGCGTCTCGCCGGCGAGGGTGGAGGGTACTTTCCGTCGAAGCTTTGAGCTCCTCCAGCCGAGGATAGAAGCTCTCACAGAATGATTATCGATGATGCTCTTGTCACACGCTAAAACCATCCAGGCCCCCTGAGTGGGATCTCCAGGGGGACCCTTCTCATCGAGAAGGTCTTCCAGGGCTCCAACGCCCCCGGCGTCCGAGAAAGACACAAAAGCCATATGTTCAGGATCAAGCTTCCAGATAATCAGACCACGCGAAGCGGACGACCTAAGATGTCTCACCAACTTGTTAGCTAGAGTGATATCCCCAGTCGTGGGAGCCTTAAGCCTACTAGCTAAGATGCTCGCCACTCCTGCTGCTTCCGGTCGTGCTTCTCTGCCGATCCAATTAAACTTGTAGACTAACGAGCGCAGGTCCTTGAATTCTTGAGATTCCAATGGAGATCGGCGGTCTGTCAAACGGCCCTTGGCTACTGAGATGGGTCGGATCTCCTCTAGGATGTATTTCTCCATATCGATGGTCGCCCGTCGAGGTCCCATGGTAATCCGGCGGCCCGCAAAGTCAACAGCTCCAGCCTGACAGTCACTGCACTTACCGGATTTAAAACGGGATTCCAGGATCTGACGCAACCAAGCACGAGAGGCCTCAGTGGCGCTCCCAATAAGAAAATCATCCACTTCTAGCAACATCACGTTTAAGATCTCGCCGGACTTGCCGTAACGGATCCACCAGCAAGGTTCAAGAAGAGACCGAGTAAAACCATGTTGCTCCAAGAATGTCACCACTGTGCGACGCCAAGCTACCGGAGCATCGTCCAACCCATACACGTTAACACGGAGTCGAATGAGGGAGCCGGCTGGGAGGTTCACGCCCTCGCACGGCTCTACATAGATCTCGCCCTGAGAACGCGTCATCTTGTCGGATTGGCAGAATGCGTTCTTGACATCCGCGATGTCAGCAAGCATGCTGAAGTTCATCGCGATCTGAAGGAAGAGCATGATGCTGGAGGTCTGTGGAGTAGGAGCGTATACTTGAAGGGAACCAGAGTCCGGGTTTTTGTGTCCATGGACACGCCACCGGGATTTCGCCACCGGCCTCTCGTTAGTTCCTTCCACCGGCTTCCATCGTCGGACCATCCTGCTGGATATGATCCGATCGGGAAACGCCTTCCGCACAGCCTCCGCCTTGGCCGGAGAGAGGACCTCGACCGCCTTGGTCCCCATCATAGCCTGCCACTCCTTATCATCCGACGCCCTAAACTCCTCTCTCTCCGCCGGGGTGAGGTTCTTCAGGGAAACCTCGCCACCCCGACTCGCCGCGAAATCGCCGCCGTCTTCGAACGCCGCTCCCGTCCAGCTCTGCTGCTCCAAATCCCTGGGCCTGGCCTGGACACCACCACCCTCACCACCAACCGGGAGGATGAGGAAGTCCCCTTCTCCCCCGCTCCCCCGGGCAGTCCTCGGGGGGGGCCGCGACTTCGGTCTGCCCGACTCGAACCCGCGCACCAGCTCGTGCACCGAGCGCCGCGGTTCTCGCCCGCTGACCACCCGACCCCTCTCGGAGGAGGGAGGACGGGAGGAAGAGCCAGGAGGAGGAGGAAGGGCAAGAGGGGAAGTAGGAGGTGGAGGAAGACCGGGCGGGGGGTCCACCCTCGGCCGCTTGGAGTCGGGCGGCCCCGAGCTCGCCCGAGGCGGCCCGGTCGGAGGCCGCCTGACGCAGGCCGGGACGTCGCTGGGCTGCACCAGCCGCCCGCGAGCCTTTGGGGCCTCGCTCGCGGCCCGCTGCCCCCCTTCCGCCTTCGGAGCAGGAGCGGGAAGGTGAGCCGGAGGGGAGGAGGAAGGAAGCAGAGGCCGAGGAGGAGGAGCAGAGGGAGGCAGAGAGGGAGGAAGCTCCGAGGTCTGCCTCGAGGTCGCAGGAGCCCCAGAGCTCTCGACCCGCGGCCCGCGGGTCCCGCTCCCAGAGCTGGACGGAGGCCTCGTCACCTCCGAGCCCGCCTGGGCTTCGACAGAGTCCGCCTCGGACCGGGGACCCCTCCTGAGCTCGGCCCCAGGGAGACCGCCCGGCACCGGCGGAGGCCCCAGGACCGAAGGAGCTGGCCCCTCGGAGGCCCTGGGAGGATCGCCCCGGGGCTCCGGAGCCCGAAGCCCAGAGACCTGAGGGGCCGAGTCGAGCTCCTGCCTCGCCGCCTCGTCCCAGGCGTCGTCGGGGGGAGGCCCCTCCCTCTGGACGTCGACAGCCGTGGCTCTCCTGGTGCCCGACTGTCGGAGAAGCTCCTGCCACTGAGGGGAGTTGGCAATCTGAATACCATACTCCTCGTCGGCGCTGGCCAGCCGGACCTGCTCCACCGAACACTTCCACAAGCGCGCGCGCATGGCGACCCACGCCGTTCCGGCTTCCGCCAGGACAACGACTCCCGGCCCGGTCCAGCCGCCCCGTCGTCGCCCGAGCGCATCGGCCCTGGAGGTGGTCCGCGCCATGTGGCGCCACACGTACACCCACTGACCTGGAGTGAAACACCGAGGGGCCGGGGTCCTGGCCCGGGACGCCCGGCTGATCTTCCCCCTGGAAGTGGCCTCCATCGCCAGTCGCCTCGCGGCGGACCGGACGGCCTGAGCTCTTGAAAACTCGGCGCCTGCGGCATCCTGCTCGCTAGCAGGTCGAACCAGGTCTTGCCATCCCGGCAGCCCATGGGAGTCATCGGAGAGGAGATCGTGAGGAAGACGGGGGTTTTCACCGAAGACCAGCTGGAGAGGGGAAAAGCCCCCTCGGTGCCAATATCTATTCTTGTGAGCGGTCAGCTCATACACCAGGGTGTCGAGCTCTTCTAGATCGGACACCACTCCTGACCCCGAGTCCAGCTCAAGTCTCACGCGGTCCTTAATCCAACCCCCGTGACGCTCCACTCGACCATTCTGCCAGGGGGAGTCTGCGTCGCAGACATGGTGCATCACTCCCCACTGCTCGAGACCCCTCGCAAATCGGGCCCCGAACTCCGAACCCCCGTCGGACAACAGAAGATGAGGGGCCCCTAGGGGCCTCACCCAGCACGCCACGAAAGCCGCCCACACGGTGGCCGCTCGAGCGTCAGCGAGCCTCGCACACACTTGCAGGTTCGAACCGTGGTCAACCACGTTGAGGAAGGGATGAGAGGACCCCGCAAAGTCGAGGTAGAACAGATCGACCCCCACGATGTGGTTAAACCGAAACGTCCGAGGGAGGGCCACACGATGCTGATTTCCGGGTCGCCTCTTTTCCTCGCACTCCGAGCATCTGAAATGGTCCCGGACCCACCGCACCAGGTGTGGCTTGACCCCTCCCGCTCGCAGCACGCGACAAAACTTTCGCACCTCTGGGTGCCCCATGTCGACGTGCAATTTGAACAGGAGACGCTTGTCACTCTCTTCTGGGTCCGGATCAGCTCTGGAACATTCTGGGCTCGGGCGAGGGATCCTCGTTTCCTGCTCGTCACCGCTGTCCTCGCTGCCTTCTTCCTCCGGGACTTCCGCGATCGGCGACAGCCGCTGACCTTCCGCCTCTCCCGCCGGACAGACGAGTTCCTCGAGCTGGGCCCATGTTGGTCGGGCCTTGGAGTCGGCGCCGCTCCACTGCTCGGCCACAGCTCGGGCCACGGCCTTCACGAACTTGGCCGCGCACCTGGCCGATCGGGACGTCTGGTGGCTTCCCTCGAGGATCGCGCGACGGTGGTCCCCGGGACACAGCCTCCCATCTAGGACTCGGAGCAGACCTGGATGATTGGTGAGTATCCCGGTGGGCTTCTTGTTAACCCCACGCTCGTCGACCTGGAGGTCGAAGACACACATATCCACCCTTAGTCGTCGGACGCCCGACAGCGAAGCTATGAGCCGGACCACCTCAGTTTCCCACGAGCTTGCGTAGAGCGGATGCTCGAAAGCAAAGAAGCGCCCCTTCGAGTGCTGATATTGCGCCACCTCCATGCAGAGCACGAGGTCCCTGAGACCCTCCATGACTTCCCGATGCCACTTGTCGGGATCCCTACGATCTCTATTGACCCGATTGATCGCAGAGAACACCCGACACTCCGAGCTCATCCAGATCGTTTCGGGTTCATCGCGATAGATATGTTCCCACATCTGCCTAACGTGAGCTGGTTTAGACGAGTCCCAGCCTAGGAGCCTGTCCAGGCTCGCGACCTCTCCGACGGGGGCCCCACGGCGCTGCACTTCGGGGGCAATGCGAGGAGGAGAGAAGATCTCCAGAAAGGCCGTCTTGGCCCTATGCTTCTTGCGAGGCCCGGTCCTATCTTCGCTCCGAGCCTCGGGGACGGACCCCGCATCAGCTGCGCCTCGCTCGAGGGCTTTCCTGACCGTAGCGGCCCAGGCCGCCTCGTGATCGTCGTTGAACCGGTCGCCGTCGAGCCAGTAGGCCTCGCATCCTTCGAGCCAGCTTCCAGCGTTGAGCTGCGCCCCAGCCACGGCGACGAGGTCTCCGCCCCCGGTGGGGAAGCCCACCGGATAGCAGCAACCGCGACCGAGGGAAAACTCTAAAGGAGGCTCTGGCTGAGGAGAAGGGGGAGGAGGAGGAAATCTTTCGAGCTCGGGGCAGCAGGCGCACCGAGCATAATTGGCTGGCAGCTGCAGCCCAGAAAGTCTCGGCCGGGAGCTTCGCCCGGTCGCTCGCCCGCCTCGCTCACCAGAGACTACACCACCTTCCACGACTGGTTGGATCCCGGAGTGTCCGGGTCGTTCCCCTGGACCGTCGTCGTCGTGATGGTGAGCGTGGTGTCGTCTTCGGCCCCCTGCATCCGAGCCGGCTCCTGCTGCTGCGGCTGGGCGGCCGCCTCCGGATGCGGCGGAGGAGGGAGGCCCGAGCCGCTGCTCCCGCCGGCCTGTACCTGCCCCTGATTCGCGAGGATGGCGCCGTTCATGTATGTGGCCATCGCGTTGACTGAGGTCCCGATCTGAACTGTCATGGTCACCAGCGAGTCGAGGGCCTGCTGCATGTTGGTCATGTCCATCTGGAGCGCGGTGACCTGATCTGATACTGCATCCACGGTCTCGCCGAAGTCCTCGAGGGTCCCCAGCATCCTCCTGATGTGCGTGACCCCCTGGTGGATCTGCTGAAGGCCTTCGACGATCTGGCCCTCGCCGCCGATTTGCGACGAGCTGATCATGTCGAGCACGCGGTCGATCGTGGTCTGGATCGTGCTCAGCGCTCGGGGGCCTTCTGGGAGATCGTGCAACTGCCAACGGAGCGACTGCATCATGGCCGATATCCCGTTGATGGCGTTGGTGTGTGCCGCCCCGTCCACAAAGCCTCCATCCTGCTGCAGCAACTGGATCGTCTTCTCCGCGAGAGCCGCTGCCCGACGTGCTGCCTCGGCTGCGGACTCGGGGCGGTCCGGAGCAGGACCTCCCCCACCGCCTGGGCCGCCGCCACCGCCGCTGCCCAGCTGGCCAAGAGACACCCAGGCGATCCTGGCACCGCACTGGCCGCACTTGGTCCCGCGTCCCCACTGGTTGCCGTACCACTCGACGCAGTTCTCGGGGTGAGGGCAGGCTGCTTGCTCTGGGTTGAGCACTCCGCGCCTGCGCATGCGCGCCCGGGCGGCCACGTCCTGGCGGTTCACGCTCGGCGGGATCACCCTGGGATCGGGCTTCGGAGGAGGCCCCTCCGGCTGCGGCTGCGGCTGCATTGCCTGCGGCGTCCCTTCTTGAAACCACATCGGCTGAGCTGACCCTGGTACCGACGGCGGAGGCTGAAACCACAACCCGTCGGTCGGGGCCGGCTTCGCTGGTGCCGCCGCCATCGCTGCCAACTGCCCCTCCTGCTGGTCGAGCTGAGGGATCTGCGTGCCGTGAGCTCGAGGCGGGCCTTGAATCTGGGGTTGAGGCCCGGCCATCGTCGCTCCGGCGGCGGCGGCTGCGGCCGCGGCTGCTGCCTGCTCGAACATGGGAGCCCGCGTCGCCTCGGCGATCGTGGGCGTCGGCATGGTGGCTGCCGTCGCTGCTGCCGCCGCGGCTCCGCCGGCTTCGGTCTGCATCTCTGCTGCTCCGGCGGCGGAGGCTGCCGGGGTCCAGTCGCCTGTGCCTTGGAGCTGCCTGGCTCGGTGCTGGCGAAGGAGCTCGGCCCGCACCTCGTCGGTTGGCTCTGTCGAGCCCTTCTTCTTTCCCGCCAGCGCCGCCGGGATCGCCACCATGGCGAGGAGGAGCTTCATGAGACCCTGCACCTTCATGGCTGGAGTGCCGGCTGAGCCTGGATCGTCTGACCGGCCTCTGACGACGAGATCTGAGAAAGCTGAAAGATCTTGAACCGAGACTGGCTACGGAGAGGACCAGACAAGCTAGACCTAGCATCTTGAAGACCTTAGCACGCTCCCCGATTCCCCTCGTCCTGATCAGTTCGCCAGACGCTAGCTGAGCCCGTGGCCCGAGGTGCCAGATGAAGAACCCTACGAGGCCCGCGAGGCCGTCCCTCAGAATGCCCAAGATCTCCCCGACATAGCTCGACACCCTCCTAGACGCTGTACTGGACCGGCTCCTCTTACTTCGTTGCCCGGTGCCCTGGATAACTCGGATAACTCTGAGAGCACAGGTGGCCAAGAGGAGGGGGGAGAGCATGTAGCCCTTCATCATTCCAGCGTCCGTCATCTGCTGGGGCGAGCCGCCCTTGAATTCAGAAGACGAGGGCGTGAGGAAAGGGAAGCGCTTCAGAGCGCCGGCGGGCACTCCTGTCGGCTCGCTCAGAGGCCTCACCACGTCGGCCATCCGGTGGCCGGAGGGCAGCCTGGTCAACGTCGTCGTCGTCTCGAACTTCTCGGAGCACATCTCGTTCCCGGGAAGGTTGATGACACAGCCGAGAAACTCCACAAAGGGTTCACGCTCAGGATGTGCGGGACGTCGTCAGCGAGCACCGTCGTCTCGATGATGCCGAGGATGCCGAACAGGCAGAGAGGAAAGAACACTGCTGAGATCACCTTGGCCGGCCCTCCGACTCCGTGGGCGCCGACCTGACGCCGGTACTCGGGAGGGGCCTCCACGCACTGCAGGCCCCGCTCTGCCAGCGCCCGTGACTCCCTGTTGAGAGCCTGGACGCCCACAAGGTCGCTGCCCGCCCCTGGGTCCACGAACGCCTGGGTGGCGAGGGAGACCAGGAACACGTCGTCCTTGGTGATCTCCTCCTGGAGGTCCTTCCACTGAGAGAGCGTCTCCGGCGTGGCCCCCACGCCGACCGCGCCCGTGAAGGTGCAGGCCGAGTGACCTGCTCTTGCCCTTGTTGTCTGGGTTGTCCGGGCACTCACGGTGCCAGTGACCCTTCTTGTGGCAGATCTTGCACTTCGAGATCTTCATCCTCTGCTCGATCGTGAGGCGAGGACGTCCTCCACGTCCGCCTCCTCTACTAGCGACACGTCCGTCACGCGGAGGGCGGCCCATGCCTCGGGGCCTGGGCGGAGGGGGCGCGTCCCTCGATCCGGCCCCCGAGCGCCGACCTCCGAAGTACTCGCGGTCCTGCTTGGCTGCGCGCTTGATGTCCTTGTTTTCTTTCCAAGAGCGCTTGGCCATCATGGCCAGTGCTGGCTCCACCTGATCCTCGTAGAGGTCGAGATCGTCCAGCTCCTTGAGCACAGCTGCCATCGCGGCCTCGTCCCACTCCTGGTCGTCGCCCTCCTCGTCGGACTCGCCCTCCTCGTCGCCTGAAGCTCCTCGTCGGACCGACCGGAGGGAGGGAAGGAGGCGGAGGGAAAAGCCTGCCTAGCTTCGACCTCGCTGGGATCCTGTTCCTCAGCGCCAGTCGCTGGCATGGCTCCAAGTCCCTGCCTACCTGGAAGCAGCCGCTCACTGCCGGTCGCGTCCATCTGGCGGAGGGCCCAGGAGACGCTGCTATAGTCCATCCGTCCCTGCGTCAAGGTCCTGAGGTTCTGCTGGCCCTGGGAGGTCAGACCCGCACCCTCCTCTAGGAGCAGGCCCTTCAGCTTGGGAGACAGCCACATCTCGTGCGACTCGGCCTCCGTCAGCTGTGCTTCTCGTCGGCTAACGAACTGAATCAACGCCTCGTCCTTGTTCCGCTGAGCCTCGAAGAGCGCCTTCCTCCCGGCTCGCCGGAGGTCGTCGCCCTCGCGCTCGCCCGTCATCATGTCCATGCGGCCCAGGATGACTTCCAGCCAGCCCAGTCCGGTCAGCGTGCTCTCCGGGACATCGTCGAACTTGGCCTGTAAATTGTAGTCGAAAAGCTTGAGCAGCTTCTCGGCCCGGCGCCAGGCCGGTACGTCGGTGTTGGTGTCCCACCTCTTGAGGGCACGCCGCCACTGCCTGTAGTGATTCCAGCCCGGCCAGGCTGGAGGATCCGAATAATCGCCTTTGCCACCGAAGCCGCCCCAGGAGTCGTGACTCCACCGGGCAGCTCTCCAGTCACTATCTCGCCAGCCGTCGCCCTTGTCGTCCTTGGACTTCCAGTCGTCCTTGGACTTCCAGCCGTCGTCCTTCTTCCAGCCGTCGTCGTCCTTCTTCCTGCCGTCGTCGTCCTTGGACCACCAGCCGTTGTCGTCCTTCTTCCAGCGGTCCCAGGCCGACTCGTCCTTGTCTGAACGGTCCTTGGACCGCTCTGCACCACCACCGTCACGGGTACCCTCACGTCTTGCTGCCGCCGAGGCGCCTTCGGCGCCGCTAGCTGCCTGCTGCCAAGGGTCGCCCGTGTCGTTCTTCTTTTCTCCGGAGCTCGAAGCCGCTGCCGAGGAAGTCGCGCTGGTAGTCTCCCTGACTACGCCGGCGATCAGCTCCCTCAGCTGCTCGGTCGACAAGCCTCCTGCAGCACCGCTAGCGCTCGAGGCCTGCTGGGCCCCGTCGGTCAGCACCGCCCCGGAGAACTCACCAGTACCGTCACCTTCTTCGTCTTCACCTGACATGCCGTGGATGCCACGCCAGTCGGATCTCAGAGCGAGGTCCGCGCCGCGGGCGCTCGAGGCCTAGAGGCGGGAGCCGCTCCGACTCCGCTCTCCAGGTCCCATGGGCCGCGCGGCGGGGCCCCCTGCTCCGCTACCAACTGTGGCAGCAGCAAGACCCCGATATGCCTTTTGGCCTTGAGCCAAATGAATACGGAACGCCTCTTCCACATGCTAAACCTATACACTGAAAACTGGAGCACTTCCACAGGGAGGAGGAGGAGGGGCTTCGTGGGTCTTGGAAGGCTTTCTTTGTAGAATGGGACCCATGCATCGGGGCCGCCGAGTCCCGGGCGCCCGATGTTGTTGCGACCCGGTCTGGTCGGGCCCGTGCAGACCCAGAGCACGACAGGTTTTTACCGCCCGAGACCAGGCCAGATTTGCACGCGCCCGAGCCTGGGCCAGGATTGGTGTTTGATCCACGAGAGGCCGACGAAGAACAAGAGTATGTCGACGCGGTTGCTTTCCTAGACGGTAGCAGCGTGCCACAGCCTGAGGACGATGAGCCGCCTCGCGATTCCCCCTCGATCTCTGTTGCCCCTCCCCCTCCGCCTCAACCTGTCGAGCTCAGCGACGAGCTCCGAGCACGGATCGCTGCTAACCGTGGACAGTCAAGAATTCGCAGGAAGCTCAGGCATGCTCAGAGAGTTGCACCTTGGACGTTCCAGCCCAACTTTGGAGACGGGCTTTTCGATCAGGTGCTTGACTAGATTAGATAGAAGAGAAGCTTGGAGGAGGATTGATTGGAGGAGGTTACCAGCTAGCCACGGCTTGCAGCAAGATCGGTCAAGCATCTTTGTCAGCCCTGACCTCTACCCAGGAGTCTCTTTCCTCTGCCCCCAGTCTCTTTCCTCTGCTGCGACAGCCCAGCTGACTTTCACAGGTGGTCAGTATCACTATCGTCGCTACCCGCACGTCCTTGTTTCAGGAGATTGGTGGAGTTGGGCGAGTGGTTTTCAGGAGGTCAGGATCGGAGGATCGAGGAGCGGATCGGCGCGGCAGTGTAGCAGCGAGCGCGCGGCCGCCCCCCACCCCGACGCCACACGGCGGCCCGCCCCGCCACCGCCGCCCCACCGCAGCTGCCCTGCGGGGCCCGCCCCCCATGCGAGAGCGATCGAAGCTGGGAGGTGGGCAGAGTGAATCAGTTGTGACAGCGGTAAGCTGTTTAAGCTTCTGTGCAACAACGGTCGTGTCCTGCACAGCTGACGCGTGCTCAGCCATCGGCGGCCGAGCCGAGGGTCGATCCGTGAGGGGAGGGGGCCAATAGTGGGCGCTCCGAAAAGAACTCGCGAAGCCCCCTCCCCACAGCGGCTCTCGCCGAGGCAAGGTCGCCCCCTTTTACAGCTGCTCACTTCGAGAGCAACCCGCGGTCTTCGAGATTGCGAGTATAGGATGGAGTTGGAGGTTCTGTGAGGTTTTCAAGATCGGGGGAGGGAGTCAGTCACGTTCTGTCTGCATGAGGAGCTCAAGTTTTTGAGATACAGTGCGGCCCTGTCGCATGAGTTTGCAGATACCATCCCACGTCTGGCTTCGAGGGACTAGCACCAACCGTGGACGACGAATGACAGCAGCGTTCACAGTTACAGTTATGGCGCCACAGTCCCCGTCCACGTGGCGTTGGTCATACGCCAGTGACGAATAGGGCAGAGGAGGAGGGGTCAGAGAGAGATGCCGCCTGCCTCTCTTGCTCTCTTCCGCCCGCGGCCTGCATGCTCCGCCGCCCGCTCCCTCTCTCGTCGCCGTCACCTTCGCAAGAGGTGCGGGCCCCCGCTACAAGCTGTGGGCACGTCTCCACGCCTGGGCCCGCGGGGGGCAGCGGCAGGGGGCCAGGTGAGCGTAGTCCGTCGCTAACCACACACCCGTTGCGTGTGGCACCGGACCCCCGAGAGTGCGCCTGTGCGCGCCACGGCTCGCCAGGTGCTCATGCGCCTGCCCACCGTGGCGCCAGCCAGCCGCCTGCATTGCTTTGCATAAGCAGTTATGGAGTAGCAGGGTAAGGTGTGGAGGACTGCATCGGTTGGGGTTGAAGGGTAGGGTGTGCCATGCTCGCTCCGCCAGTTGGCAGCTGCCATTAGCATCAGCCGATACCTCGGCATGACTGACGAGCAGACGCGGCCCAGTCAGTTTCGAGTGCAGCGCAGCTCTGCATGATACGAGACACGTCGTGCAAGCCTAGAGCGAAGATCGCAGCGAGTCAGCAAGCTCCCCTCCCTCCCTCTCTATTTGCCTCACCTACCACACGCTGTGTTGCGAGAGACCCGAGCCTTTGCGGACAGGGGAATGTCGGGAACACCCTTGCAGGACCGCCGCCACTGCACGCTCTCATACTGACCACGGTTGCGAGTCAGCGACACGCTGATGTTTAATGACTAGTGGAGGTCGGTGGGAATCGGTGGTGGTGGGAGCTGTGAACTTGTACTTCGGCGCCTACGCCCGAACTGTTTACTGTGATGTACTTTACGAGCCTCGACTTTTTCGAGCCTCGACTTTTAGTATAGACACAAGAGCTGTCTGTGTTAACTGCCTCTGCTAGCCGCAGCACCACTCTTACGCGACAGCCGCCAGGTTCAACGCGCGTGCAATCAAATCCTGTTGCATGTTTCCGGATTCCCGATTCCAAGTTCTGCTCACGTTTCATAGTTGTTGTCTGGCAGGCAGTCGAATTGTACACCCATGCCCTGCACAGGGCCGAGCAGCCGACAGGCATGCTCGCGTGGTTCGCTCGCTCGCCTCCTCCAGCTTCCCTCATCCCCTTCGGGGAAGGAGTTATCCCGCCCCCTGCCCCCTCCCCCTAGGTCTGGAGGGGAGGGGTCGCGGGTCGTTGGAGCAAAACGTCTAGAATTAGGGGGGAACTTCTGGGAGGTCTTCGTCAGAACGATTACGGGCTCCCCGGGCGGTTTGCCCGATAAAGGGACCACCAAGCCGAACTGCCCCAAACTAAATCCAAGATCAAGCAGAATGACCAGGATTAAGCACGAGTAAAAAACATTGAATCGAGACTATGCCGGACTGGGCCAGTCTTCGACCACGGATATACCAGCGCCGATGCTGAACTGAACCTCCCAGGAACTGCGTCCGAACCAAAAGGTCTAGCGCATGGAGCAGATCAGGGCGGGTGGGGCGGGGCCATCCCCGTCGTCGGCCTGATGAGGCCCCGCCTCGGCCGCCAGGGCCGTCACCGCAGGGGCTCTGGAGGGCAAGGAGGCCACGGGAAAGGGGCTCCCGCGCCTGCTCCACATCCCTGCTCCCGCTCCTCGTGGCCCTGCTTGCCCCCGTTGGCGCTGCTACCCGTGTTGGACCAGAAAACAAACGACACCACCCCACCTACGGCACCAGGGACCTTAGCGTATTCCAGGAGATCTGGCGTGGATTTTTGCGTGGGATGGGCCGTAGTGCAGCATGGAGGGCTGTGGGTGGGGTGGTGTCGTCTGGTTTTCGGCCGACATGTTCTGCTCTGCGCTGCCCGTTGGCGCTGGCACTCCTGACCAAGAGCGGGTAGTGCATTGAACGCGCGCCACTCATGCAAGCATCGAAGCCGTGGGCACACACGAAAAAGAAGCACACACACGCGCGCGCGGACGTCCGCCCGCACCCGCCCACGAGGAGCAGCCCGCTCCTCGTCCGCCTCGTCCTCCACGCCCCTCCCCGGCACGAAACACGCGGGTCCTGACGGAAACGGGTCCCGGACCCAGGGGCCTTCCAACAGGACCACACGTTCGTCCCGACTCGCGTTGTCGGACAACCGCGGTGCCCGTGGGGGCCGACGGAAACCAAAAACGTAGACTGACCCCGGGACCTTAGATGATCGTACTACGTGGCGCAGGTATGTGTAATAACCTACGCGGTGCTAAATTCGCGGCGCAATATATGATTGATGTTGCGCAATCTACGTGGCGCAGTATGGTGCAGCCTTTGCGGTGAAACTATGTGGCGCAATTAAGTTTGAAAAAGTTAACCCGTGCATCCTCGCGCGCACAGCGGCCAGCTGCATTGGCGCGACCGACGAGGCCGCGGTGGTGCTGACCGCTGGGCATTTTCCAACGCATCTCGCAGGCCGCGCTGACGAGCGGACAGTTCAGAGCGAGTCGGTGATTCGAGCGGGCGCAGTATCCTGGCGACGTCGACAAAGGTAGACACAATGATCATAGCAGCGTGATGGTGACGATGATAACGATGACGACGACGATAGCAAAACCAATGACAGCGCTGATGCTAATCACACGCGCGGCCGACGCGCGCGAATGGCCCGCATTGTATGACTTGACCCGTGCCCCTCCCCCCAGCAGCAAGCGCCCAACGGCGTTCGAATGATTTCGACCTGCGCGCGCGAAAAAAACCACTTGGTCGCATGTGAGGCCGATAATTTTCGCAAGAATGCGCGAAGGCGCGTGGGCTGTGCTTCCCTGTTTGAAGAATCATGTTGCAGCCAAAAAAATGTTTGTGCATACGTGTTCGGGAAACCCGATGTAAAACCCGTACACACCATCGGGTTGTTGAAAGATTAGAGTATGCGCGCGCGACGACGAGTACGTCGACTTGGCCCCATCAGTTCCACATAAATTGTCTTAAAAACTGATGAAATGCGATGAACGAGCATGCGCGCAAAATGCTGTTCGACTGGTGTGAAGCAACACATGTTGCGCAACATACGTGCTGCAACATATATATATATATATATATATATACATATATATATATATATATATATTGCACAATCTACGTAAAGCAGTTTACGCGGTGCAATGCATGCTTTTGTTGTGTAGTCTATGTGGGGCAATATTTGTGGCGCAACGTGGGTTGCACAATCTGCGTCGAGCATAATATGTTGAGATCGTACAATACGTGTTTGAGACATATACGTGGCGCAATATACGCTGAGAACAATAAGCGGCGCCGTTCACCTTGCCGCACTTGAAATTGTCACCACCACTGATCGCGCAACCATTCCACCCACCCACCCACAA